GGGGGGGGGGAATTCTCTTCAAAACCCAACACAAAGGGATAAGAGAAAGAGAGGCTCTAACCCAGAGCAGCCCATGCATGTCCGAGCAGAACTGTGCTCCTAAGCCCACTCCTATGGCCCACCCTGTGGAACAGATCGCCAGGCCTTTCTTTCACAGTGCCCCCGGGTGCCGTCCAGCAAACCACCAGCCTGCGTCACATAGAGAGAGTCCTGAGCTGAACTATGGGCTTCAGTTATTAATAAATGAGTCTACATTGGGTCGCCAACTGTAACAAGTGTGCCACAGGAATGCAAGCTGTGAACAGCAGGAGAAACCGTGTGTGGGGAGAAGGAGGGATAGGAAAACTCTTAAAACTTGTCTCCGTGGCTGAAAATCCCATCAAAGGTCGGTGCCTGTCACAGGTGAGGAATGTGAGGCTCAGTCCAGTTTCCTGGGCTGCCCACAGCACAGAGGCAGGAAGCAGGGGAGCTGGAAGAGAATCCTGGCCCATTTGCTCCATGGCTCCTACTGCTTAAATGAATCTGGACTCTCTGGGACCGTCCCCAAATGTTTACCCCTAGTTTCTCCATTTTTCTGCATGTAATATATGGATGACTCCATTTCCCCAACTGAACCAAGGATCCAAAGCTTCTCTTTGCTGCGATTCTCTCCTCATTTTTCTCGTGTTTTCGAGCCTCACAAGTCCAATCAGAAACTAGAATGCGATCTAGGTGCTTAAGAGAGCATCTCGTGGATAGCTGGAAGAATGGATCTCCGAAGAGACCTGACAAGAAGCTGGTCATCAGAGAACAGACTGAATGCGAACTCTAGTTTCATCTTCGCCTTTTCATAAATGGTGATTGGAAAGGGGGTGGGCGTGGGCAGGTCCCCGCTGGACATACCGCAGGTTAATTTGGAGTGTCCTGAAGACCATAAACTTCCCGTGTTGCTGCTGACCCAGGGCAGAGCCTATCAGACTTCCATTTCTAGATGCAGCCCCCTGGTCTACCACAGGGATCCTTAAGTCAACCAGTAGTTGGTGACACTGATTTTGCAGCAATGCTAAAAGGGACACCACTCAGCCCAAATGATATCTGGGAGGAAAAAAACCTAAACCCACTGCCGTTGAGACGATTCCAACTCAGAATGACCCGGCACAAAGTTTCTAAGGTTTGTGAAACATTACGGGGGCAGAGTGTCTTTATCTGTCTCCCACTGAGTAGCTGGTGGGCCTGGATGTCGGACCTTCATATTGAAAGGACTGCCTAAAGGAATGCCCGAGTCTCACATAAAACTCATTCTAAGACTAATGGTTCTAGATTCTTCCACGTCTTTGAACTTTAAAATGACCAGATCACCTACTACTGGCTGCCACTGAGGAGATTCTGACGTGGTGACCCCACAGGGCAGAGAGCTGCCCACCTGGGTTTCCAAGACGGAAACTCTGTATTTCTTTAAGAGTAAATGTATTGAAGGGGGATCCTTTGGAAAAGCAAGTGAAAGGGCTCTTAGTCTGAGAATGCGAAACTATGACTCTGTAGGGGCGTAGAAAGCCTCTTCCTCCCTTGGAATCAGCTGGTAGTTTCAAACTGCTGACCTTGAGTAGCTAGCTGCCCAATGAGTAACCCACTTAATCATCTTCTAGTATCCAAAAATTGAGCTGGCCTTTAGGTAAGGGTAGAAGGGTAACAGGAAAAGAATATTATACTCGTATATCTGCCACCCTTATTTTTCTTAATGTCTTCCTAAGACCCAGTATCTACTCAATGCCTCTCAATCCCTCCTCCATATCTCCAGGTGACCCAGGAGCACACAGAAAGTAAGCGTGATGGGTTTGGCTCCTGCTGGCATCCACCCAAGGAGGTTTTCAAGCAACAAAAGCAAATATTAAAAATTGGCAAAAAACAAAGTAAAAATTGCAGTCCCCTGCACAGAACATTCTCTTAATATTTGTAAACCCTGCTACCCCTACAGCTTTACTATTAAAAGAGATGTAACCTAGCAATGATTGTGATCTTTCGGATACATGGATTGCGCTCAGCCCGTCACGTAGGGGACGAATCAGAGTCTGCCCAGGTCCCTATGACTGCATATCCTCAGAGCAGTCGACAGCTTCACCTTTCTCCCTAGGAACGGCGAGTGGGTTTGAGCTGATGCTGATGTGCATTACAGAGAAACCAAATTCTGAAGTCCACAGAGGCTCACTCCCAAGGTTACATAAAAAATAAACTCAAACTCACAGCCAGCGAGTCAATTATAACCCATAGGCACCCTATAAGATGGGGTAGAACGGTGCCTGTGCATTTCTAAGGCTGTACAGCTTTACAGGAAGAGAAAGACTCATCTGGTTCCCGAATCATGGCTGGCAGGTTTGAACCATCTACCTCATGGTTAACCACCTACTACACCACCATGTGTTCAAAAATAGCAAATTTGGTATAAGGTTATAGTGAATGTATTGTATGAAATCACCCAAATTAAAAAGCTAATGTGTGTATACATGCATCCTTTTTATTCGTAATACTGAAGTGAGAAAATGCAAAATACTAGTGCCGTCATACCTTGTCGCATTGTCCACAATTAGCTGAGACTCGGCTCTGTGGTTTGTCTTCAGTTCAACAGCACACTTCCTCGATTTAAGAGTCTCGAAGAGATCTTTCAGCAAGTTGCCAGGCTCAATGCTGGGTAACTGCCTAATATCGCCTGAAGGGGAAGGGGAGGAATAGTTACAGAAGGGTTTAGGAGAAATGGTTTAAATTACGTCTACTTCTCCCACAGAGACATGCTTATGATCACAATGACTTACTCTAACAGAGAAAAAGAGGTCCCCTGATGGCGTAGTGGTTACTTGGGCTGCTAATTCCAAGGTCAGCGGTTCAAAACCACCAGCATCTCTGAGGGAGAAAGATGGGGCTTTGTACTCTTGCGAAGAGTTGTAGTCGCAGAAAGCCCCACGGGCACGTCTATCCTATCCTATCTACACTCTCAGAATCAGTTCGAAGGCAGTGAATTTTCTGGAACAGAGAAAAATAGATCTTTTTTTCCCATTACTTAAGACTGTCTCTCTGAAAAGGTTTAACAAAAATTGCATTCAAATTAAGCAGTGTAGGATATTAAAAACACAACAGTGGAACACCATAAGGCAACAAAATCTACAATGAACTTCTTCGATGCTGCCCAGGTGACCTGTGTAAGGACAGAGCTTTCAGCTAACACTTTCCAATAACAGGTCTCAGTATTTGCTTCTGTTCAGTATCTTATGGGGCATGGAAGAATCCATGGCATGAATCACATTAAGAAAATATATAGAATGTAAAATAAACAAACCAAATGCATAGTTCAATGAATAAATTCCAGTAATAGAATAATGTTTTTCTCTGTTAAAAATCCTTTGCTTTCAAAACAAACAAAAAATGCAAGAGACTGTTAAAAAAAATGCAAGAGATATAAAAAATATTTACTGCATGCCACCTAGGCGAACGCTTAAGCAACTACTTATAAAATAGCCTCAAATTCTTTAAATCATATAGTCAACAGATTACAACTACCGAATAGAATATTATCAAAATTGGAAAGGATTTTAAGAGACTGATGAGGTCTAATTTGAGTTTTTAGCTTCAATTAATAATTCACTTAAAATTATCTATATTGCAATTTCCAAATGCTCTGCATATTGGCTTTCCCTGACTTTGTGATATTTTTAAAGTTGTAATAGTCATGTCATTGCAATGATTAATAGAAACTCTCTTAAAACTTTTTCATTCACAACAACATTGTTGTTAGGCCAGTAGGTCAATGGCGACCCACCGCGACACCTTGTATGCACAACAGGGGGAGCACTACCCAGTCCTGCAGGGTCCTCAACAGCCCTTCCTGTATGTGAGTCCAGACGTGCAGCCCCTGTGCCCACCCATCTCCTCCAAGGCCTTCCTCTTTTTCAAAGGCCCTCTACTTTGCCAGGCCTGTCCATCAGAAGACTGGGTGGAGTAACTCAGTGGAGCTTTCCCCTGCCTTTAAAATGACATAAACAACCGACAAACCATGAGAGTAGTGATACCAGGAGGGAAAGGGGAAGGTGGGGAAGAAAGGGGGACCCAATCACAATGACATAACCCCCTATATATAACCCCCTCCCTGGGAGACGGACAACAGAAAAGTGGGTGAAGGGAGATGTCGGACAGTTTAAGACATGACAAAATAATAATAATTTATAAATCATCAAGGGTTCATGAGGGAGGGAGGGTGGGGAAGGGAGGGGAATAATTGAGCTGATATCAAGGGCTCAAGTAGAAAGCAAATGTTTTGAGACTGATGATGGCAACAAATGTACACATGTGCTTGACACATGGATGGATGGATGGATTGTACGAGCACCCCAATGAAATGATTGGGGAAAAAAACCTACTACAAACCACAGTGCTTTGAGGCAATATCAGAAGCTCAAGTGTTTTAACTTACCGAGGATAATGAGCTTGGCTAGCTTGGAGTGCTCGCAGAGTAAGTTTAAAACCGATTTGAAGATTCCAACAGACACTAAACTCCCTTCGTCCACAACTAGAACTCTAATTGAAGAAAATTTCCACGGGATATTCTTTGTTGTTTTATTTTTTTCCCATAAGTAGAAGCTGTAATTGACCTACAAGCATAATATTTCTAAATTCAGGTTTAAAAGGTATACACACAATTTTAACAGCCTTTTATTTTGTTTTAAAATAAAAATCTTAAATGCAGGTGAGTGTGTTGAGAGAAACATAAGGAAAGGGCTAAAGAAATAGAGATCACAAAGTTATAAAAACAAATAGGCAGAAGACAGATCAAGCACGAGGGGTTGCCCCCACTCCCTCAACAAACAAAAAACGGAGCAAAACTCTGCTGGGCGGAGCTTTCGTAGTACAGGCGAGCAAGCATCAAGCATCGAGCAACTCGCTCTGAGTTCGTGCACCCAGTCCTTGAAGTTAGCCCAACAACTAATTCATAGCACCACCAAGGGAGAAACAAACAAACAAACAAACTCACTGGCACAGAGCTGATACTGACTCATAGTAACTATCTATATGGTTTCTGTGACAGTAGATCTCTAAGTGAACTGAGATCTTCCTCACAATGGATATTGGAAAGAGTACACAAGCTAGGAGGTCAGAATCAGAATTCATGTCCTGGTTCTTGACTCACTGAGATCTGGGCGAAGGAATTTAACAATCCAGCCTTCAACTGGCTCTTCTGTAAAAAGGGAGATAGCATGCATTACCTACTTCACTGGACTGCCAAGAGTTAATGATCTAATGTCAAAATACTTTTCAAACGTTCGTGCTCAAATTCCTTGTCTAAGCCAAGCTTAATTTCCATCATCCTACAACTGACAGGCTTCAACGGCACTGCCTCCCAGTTCTTTGGGCACCGTGAGCATTTTACTCAGAGCCTGCACGAAGGCCTGTCCTCTAAATGACATGTTCTCCCCTCACCTGAGCCTACTGCCCTGTAAAGTCCAATTCACATAGTACAGCAACTTCCATAACTCTCCCAACTACTAAGTAACTTTGACTACAAAATGGTAAGGTCAGGGCTAGAGGAAATGCTTCAACTTTCATACCCCTAAAACTCCATGAGTTAATGACAGGCTACTTTATTTTCTTAGGCACATTCATTTCATTGGAAATGAGGATTCCGTGCCTACTCTGCAAAGCAGGACACCAGGGAAGCGCAGGAGGAGCGGAGCCAGATAAAACAAAAGGCCTTGCTCGCATGAAGACTTGCTTCTAAAAGGCACATTCCTTGTCTGATGCTTCTCAAGGTGTGGTCTGTGGACGATGGTGGACTTATAACCAGTCCCTGGGGCAAACAGAACTTGTGCCAACGTTTCACTGACTGCCCCAGGAAACATAACTCTTTAGATCAGCAGCCTTTTTAAAAGTCGTTATTGTAATAAGACTTTCTCGAGGAAGGCGGCAGTGCGCTGATTTACTTTCTGGCGTGGGCTCTTCTCTCAGACTGGAGTCACATCTATCTGCACTGTGAGCTACTGCATGGCAGGGATCCAGCAGGTACTCAATGTCACTTGACTGCCATCTGAAGGGAACTTTTATTTTCCAAGTTTTAAAAACTCTTTAAAGAAAGTCTGTTTTTAATTGCCTGTGGGCAAATGTCAAAGGTTTTACCTGACACAGCGTGTACGCCTGAAGACCAGTCCTCTGCCGCAATAAGCCAGCCGCTTTGCCTGTGGGCGCTGTAAGTAGGACTTCGATAGCCTTGCCCCCCTCCACCTGGCTGTGCTCAGTCAAGGTCAGCCATTCTTCCGATCCACCCTGGTCTTGCTCAAAATCTTCACAGGCTTGTTTCACTTCCTCTTCTTCCAGCTGCTCGACATACTTAAAGAGGCGGCTGACGATTGTGGTCTTTCCACAACCACCCTTCCCACTTATGACGGTCACTGCGTTCGCACAAATCATTTCCAGAGCAATCACTTGATCCTGATCCAGTTGAACTTCGTGCACCTCTGCAGCGAGTTCACTGTCACCACCATCACGGTCGCAGTTGTCCCCTGTGTCTCCAATGTGCAGAGTTTTTTCTAATCTTGCTTCATCCAGTTGACTGTCGTTCAACCCGTCGCCACTTTCTGAATTCTCAGGTTTGGGGACAGCAAGAGACGCAAGTACCTTCCGGACATCCACGTGCAGGCGCCACGGAGGCCTCATCATCAGGTGGCTGATGGACGAGGCGATGCCTCTTTCGGCCTGATAAAGGTTGTAAGGAAAGACACAGCCTTTCTCATAGGTCACCACACCAATGTCCTTCAAAAACTTCAGCGACTGCCAAACGGCATCACAAGATATTTGGCTTGGCAACTCAGACCTTAAGTCAAGTTCCTCGATATACGTGTGCCCAAACTCTCTGCAGATCTCCTTCAGCTTAGAATATATCACTAGCGCGTTCTTCTCGAGAGCCGTCATCAGCTGGAGGAGAGCGCTGCACTGGCAAAAGGCAGCCCAGCTTGCCTCGCACTGCAGCAGTCTCAGCTCCCTATAGGTGACCTTTAAGAGAACAGAGTTCCAATGGCTGGATTAAGAACAGTCGGCTGATGAGTCTAATTAGACTTATAACCAAGCCATGTGATTCCTTAGGAATATTTTTATTTCCCAAAAGATAAGTCATTGGGTGAAAACCATGAGGCATCTAATACTAAATTTGAAGACAACAACAGTGTACCTCATACACCCCCAAATGCACACCAAAATACAGCCCCCCCAAAATACACGCTGTGATTTCATGTATAAATTTTATTTCAGGATTGTGCTTTTTATCAAACCAACACATGTGTAGTCTTAAAAGTCAAATACTACTGCAAGGCTTAGAGACAGAAAAAGCACATGTTTTCTAACAGCAATCACCTTCAACTCTTTGAGTTACCCCCAAATTTACCTCCACGTTCCAAAATACTGTTTTTGCTATTCCTTGAGTTCTTTCTTTCTTTCTTTCATACTTTAGACATTTATCATTAACTCTTTAACCCTTTGCTTCTGGAGCCCTGGTGGTATAGTGGTTACCCATTGGGCTGTGATCCTCACGGTCGGCAGTTCAAAACCACTGGCCACTCTGAGGGAGAAAGACTGGGCTTTCTACTCCTGGACACTGGCAGGAGGTCACGATGAGTCAGCATTGACGCGATGGCCGTGAGTGAGAATACTTTACTTACTTTACTAAATCCAAGTTTCCATGGACATGCACTCAGAATCTCTTCTATCTTTTCCAACAGCATGGTGGAGTCTGTGTTTACGAGCTGGTTAAAGTGGCGAGGCAGGAGAACTGGAAGGAATTCCATTACTCTCGGAAACTGCAAAGCTTGCATAGCATTTGTAAACGGAACTATGGGATATCAGAAAAGATCACATTACAACATACAATGGAGCTCACACGCAAGGATTGGGAGGACTTGCTCATTTAGCACAACCAGTGGAGGAAATCCCAGTCAGGGGGATGAATGAACATACTTTAACCGGCAAGAAAATAGATAGCATTATACCGAAACCAAACTTCTTGTTCTATAATGTCTTAAGAGAATTTCTTCTTAAACTATTGCTTTCATTTATAAAACCATCAGAACTAAAGTTTTGACTAAATAATATACAATTTAAAGTTAGGCATAAAAACAAAAATCATTCACATAATACGCTTTATATTATAACTTTTCCAATGTAATCATGATGCCTTTCTCATTAAAATAATTCAGTAAGGTACTATCAAATTTATGTGAATAGACAAAAATGAAATGTCCATAGATATGAATGCCCAGATAACTGATTCCCTATATTTAGAAAACCATATTTTAAATAATTTCGACTGAAATTTTTCCGAGACAGATTGCTTTTACCCTGGCCTTTCCCCTCTGCCTTCTTAAACAGAATTAAATATAAACTGAATATTTTCTTATACACTCAAGAGAAAAGTTAGATAGGATGGAATGAACTGTGTGCCCCGAAATGTGTCCGCTTGGCTAAGCCATGATTCCCAGGATTGAGTGATAGCCCTACATTGGGGATTTGATGTAATTGTCCTCCATCTTGTGGTATAATAAATTCTAACCACTTCTTGTCTGAATTAGGTAGGCTATTTAAAAGAGGATAAGGTTTTAAGAGTTATGTGAATGAGGCACAATTAGGGTAGAATGCATGACCTTTAGTTCAGTCACAACCTTTATTCAGATCACATCCCTAATCCCATAGAAGGGGAGTCTCCCTGGGTTCCGGTCCGCAGATTGACAAGGGAAAGGTGGTGAGAACTTTGAGACTCCAGGTATCTATGGGTAGGTAAAAAATTGCTTTCAAATCATAAAACAATCTTCATTACCAAAAAATTCCAAAACGTGGAGCTATTGTTTCTCAACGTATCTCATTTGTTTCTACATTTCTGAAGGTGGCATTGATTGAGAGTACCATGTACTGCCAAAAGCACAAACCTATCTATCTTGGAAGAAGTACGGTCAGAGTGCTTCTTAGAGGAGGCAAGGATGGTGTGACTTCATCATACATACTTTGGTTGTCAGGAAAGACTAGTCCCTGGAGAAGGTCATCATGTTTTGTAAAGTAGAGGGGCAGCAAAAAAGGCGGCGGCCCTCAAGGAGACGGATGGATACCAGAGCTGCAGCAATGGACTTAAGAATAGGAACGATTGTGAGGATGGCGCAGGATCAGGCAGTGTTTCGTTGTGTTTATGCATAAGGTTGCTATGGATTGGAACCAACCCGATGGCACCTAGCAATAAGAGAATCTTTCCCCCTAGACAACTGGTCAACCCCTCACAGAAGGGTCACAAGGAAGAGACGAACCAGTCAGGGTGCAGTATAGCACCGTTGAAACATACAACTTTCCTCTAGTTCTTTAGTGCTCCTCTCCCTCCCCACCATTATGACCCCAATTCTACCTTACAAATCAGGCTAGACCAGAGCATGTACACAGGTACAGATAAGAGCTGGAACCACAGGGAATTCAGGACAAATAAACCCCTCAGTACCATACTGAGAGTAGCGATCCCAGGAGGGGAAGGGGAAGGTGTCGAAGAAAGGGAGAGCCGATTCACAAGGATCTACATATAACCATCACCACCCACCCCCAGGGGGACAAACAACAGAAAAGTGGATGAAGGGAAACAGTGGTCAGTGTAAGACATGAAAAAAATAATAATTTATAAATTATCACGGGTTCACGAGGGAGGGAGTAGCGGGGGTAGATGAGCTGATACCAAGGGCTCAAGTAGAAAGAAAATGTTTTGAAAATAATGATGGCAACATATGTACAAATGTGCTCGACACAATGGATATATGCCTGGATTATGATAACAGCTATAAGAGCCTCGAGTAAAATGACTTTAAATTTTTTTAAAAAAAGAATCCAGTGCTCTTTGACTTCTGCCAGGATAAAACAGCAGCGTGGCCGCCTTGAGGGACTCAAGTCACGTTCCCTGCCAATGTCCTTGAGTTTGGGGAGGAGCAATCTGAAGGGGCAAGATCATGGCTGCAGGGCGGATGGGGTAAGACTCTTAATAAAACGCTCACACAGCCCTCGTTAGCCTCAGAGGATGAGCAGACGCTCGCTGTGGTGGGGGGGGGGGCGGCACGGGGAGACATATCCTGGGGTCACTTCCAGCCTCTCCCTCACCAGTGTGTTTTTTTTAATTCTGTTAATTCTGTCTTCTTACTAATCCTCTATGGTTGTGCTGTGTCCTTTGAGGAAAAAAATTATGATTGCCTCTTGGTCGTTAAAAAAAAATGTTGCCACAACCTTCTGAGCTGACTTCTCTGCCTTAAACTTAAGTGGCCCAGCAGATGCCTGGGAAGCCCCTGCTTTGAGGGAATCTTGCGTTTGCACGCATCGTCCGTTAGACCAAGGCAAGCGTACCACTGAGCAAACCTGTCTGCAGTCCTCCCCTGGCGCAGTAGCATGCTTAACATGTTTTGTTTGGCATAAACCCCTGCATGCACGAACCGGAACCCTGGGAGCCATACCGTGTGACTCAGCCTCCCCTTTTGAAGGTGAAGTCAACAGTCACTGGACACAGACTGGATGCGAGGTCTAAGAAAAGGGAGAAGTCAAAAGCAAGGCAAGTGATATTTACCTGCCGCTTTCTAAGGAGGCAAAAATCGAAGGGAAAAGAGCTGAGGGATAAATAAACCAGAATTCAGTTCTGGGTCTTCTAACTTCAGTGGAGAGGAGAAGATGGGGCGTCCCTGTTCATAGTGTAGCCAAATCGTTCCAAGGAGCGAGATTTGCATACCATCTTGGTACAGAGAAGACCTGTGCTGTTGCTTTCCTCATTCACAACCCTCTAGTCACTGCCAACAACAGCAAAGCTCTGGGACAGGGAGAACGGCCCCTGTGGGTTTCCAAGACTACCCTTTTTTTACATTAAAAAAAGTTTTATTTGCATATAATTCACATATCAAATAATTTGATTGCTCACTCATATGAAGAAAAGTTGTGCAATCATCACCACAATCAATTTCAGAATATTTTCTTCTCACACTTGTTGGCCCACCCATTTTACCCCATCATCCCCTGCCAGGTCCCTGGTAATTATTAATCCAGTTACTCTCTCTATAGATTTACTGACCCTGGATTTCATTCACAGAAAATCATAGAAAACACCAACAGGAAGCAAACAAAGAAACAAAAACACCTCCAAATCACGAAACCAAAAAAATAAAAATCTCAATAGAAAAGAAAGCAGAAAATAGTAAAAAATGAAGACAACTTTGAAATGGGTCAAAAGGGAGATCAAATGATAAGGTGTTACATTTTAACCTAACTACATCTGTCATAATCCACTTTACAATGTTCTCTGTCTGATCACAAGGCTACTCACATTCCTGGAGTCTGATCAGAGGGGATTCACCAGAGGCGTTATCCATGGGTGAGGGGACCCTGCAAGTGGATTTTAGGCTTCCCCTGTTACCTATAGCCTTCTGCAAACCAGGTGTTCACAATTTAAACTGATACTATTCCCTCCGGTGGGAGAAAGGCTGGGCTTTTTACTCCTGTACAGAGTTACAGTCTGAGAAAGCCACAGGGGCAGTGCTACCCTGTCCTATAGGGTTGCTAGCTGAGTCGGCATCAACTCAATAGCAGTTGAGTTTGAGACTGTCCCCTCCTTCGGATTTGGATCTTATTATTTACAATCCTTGGATCAAATAGGATGGTGTGCTTCTTCCCTATGGACTTAGTTGATGCCTCAGTTAGATGGCTGATTGTTTTTTTTTCTTTTTTCAGTGAGTGAGTGAGAATGTGAGAGAGTGAGTGAGTGTGAGTGAGTGTGAGAGAGTGAGTGAGTGAGTGAGTGAGTGAAAGAGTGAGTCAGTGAGAGAGTCAGTGAATGAGAGTGAGTGAATTAGAGAGTGAGTGAGAGTGAGTGAGTGAGTGAGAGAGTGAGTGAGTGCGTGAGTGAGAGAGTGAGTGAGTGAGTGAATGAGATTGAGTGAGTGAGTGAGTGACTGAGAGAGTGAGTGAGTGAATGAGATTGAGTGAGTGAGTGAGTGAGAGAGTGAATGAGTGAGTGAGTGAGACAGTGAATGAGTGAGTGAGTGAGTGAATGAGATT